TGCTGAACCTGTTAGAAAACCTGTTACTGGAATGATCAAATAATCCTCAGGAAATGAGGATCCTGACCTGGATTCTTAGGAAAACCCTTGTTTTCCTACGGAGAAGCAAGTTTGGGATTCATAGAATCATTAAGGTTGGAAAAGGCCTCCAAGATCATCCAGTCCATTGGAGATTGTGGGGGCCTGAGATGCCCCGTGGCAATGGTCTGTGCTGCAGCAGAGACCTCTGGGTGCTGTTGGTAGTGCAACACCTCCAACCCAGAGCTTAGAGACATTCCTGGGGCCCTCCAAAAGCTGCCAGGGGATGTGTGTGCCCTTGTCCAGGCTGCTCCAGGCTCCACAACTGTGGAATTTTCAAGCAAAGCACTAAAAGCAAAAGTATTCCACCCAGAGAAGGTCTCTAAAGGTAGTCATGGAATCATCAAGGTGGGAAGAGACCTCTAAGATCACCAGTTCCAACCATTAACCTGTCACTGCTGGAACCCCTAAACCATGTCCTCCAGCAAGCAAAAGTATTCCACCCAGAGAAGGTCTCTAAAGGTAGAGTCATGGAATCATCAAGGTGGGAAGAGACCTCTAAGATCACCAGTTCCAACCATTAACCTGTCACTGCTGGAACCCCTAAACCATGTCCTCCAGCAGCAGATGCAGACACCTCTTAAACACCTCTAGGGATGGTGACTCCACCACCTCCCTGGGCAATATCCCAGTGCCTGAACACCCTCACAGGGAAACCATTTCTCCTAACAACCAATCTGACTCTGCCCTGTCTCAGCTCAAGGCCATTCCCTCTCTCCTCTCCCTGCAGCCCTGGCAGGAGAGACATCCCCCACCTCTCTCCAGCCCTGTCAGGGAGTTGGAGAGAGCCATGAGGTCACCCCTGAGCCTCCTCATCAAGGTCGTGTGTCCTCCTGGGGTGTGGTGCCCTGGCAGTGATGTCTGTGCCCTCTCCTGGCAGGTAACAGAGGAACCACAGCCGGGAGCTCCGGAGACGCGCTCGGGAAGGCACTGGCCTCGGTAAGACTTTGGGGTGGTCCTTGACCTGCTCCTGGTCGTGTTGCTGCACTGGATCTTCCCTCTTTAAGAGGCCCTAGTGTCTCGGGGGTCTGGGGGGACTGGCAGGCACTGGCTGTGGGTTTGGGAAGGGAGATGCCAGTGGGAGTCCCATCGGGGGATCCCAGCTGGCTCAGGGTGGGCACTGCTGACTGTCCTTCTCTCCCTATAGATTTACTCCCCTGATCACTCTAGCAATAACTTCTCCTCGAACCCCTCCACACCGGTCGGCTCCCCGCAGGGGCTTGCAGGTAGGTCACAGACCTTGTTGTGTGGCTAAAGGGGTGTTGGGTTTGCTCTCAGGCTCTCCAATGTAGCAACTTCCCAGCTCAGCCCCAAACCCTCACCACAGAGCCCAGAGGTGGCAGCAGCCCCAGGACCTGCTCCTGCTGTTCCTAACCCTGAGCATCCCCTTGAGAGGCTGTGCCTGGGTTGTTCCCCATAGGAGAAGTGGAATGGGAACTGGAAAGCACAAAACCTATTTCCAGTACCTGATGAAAGCCCAGGTCCTGCTGTGCCCAGGCGAGCTGGTGCCCAGGGAGCAGCATAACACAGCCCATAGCCCCCGTGGCCCCAGGCTCACGGCGAGCCAAGCGTCACTGGCACCAGGGACATGTGGAAACCCCTCGAGGTCTGCGGGTCTGAGCTCAGCTCCCTGCCCAGAGGTGCTGGGAAGGTCCGCGGTGCTATAGAGGTCCATGCAGTGGTCCATACAGTGGTCCATACAGTGGTCCATACAGTGGTCCATACAGTGCCCCATGGTGCTGTGATGGTCCATACAGTGGTCCATACAGTGCCCCATGGTGCTGTGATGGTCCATACAGTGGTCCATACAGTGCCCCATGGTGCTGTGATGGTCCATACAGTGGTCCATACAGTGCCCCATGGTGCTGTGATGGTCCATACAGTGGTCCATACAGTGCCCCATGGTGCTGTGATGGTCCATACAGTGGTCCATACAGTGCCCCATGGTGCTGTGATGGTCCATACAGTGGTCCATACAGTGCCCCATGGTGCTGTGATGGTCCATACAGTGGTCCATACAGTGCCCCATGGTGCTGTGATGGTCCATACAGTGGTCCATACAGTGCCCCATGGTGCTGTGATGGTCCATACAGTGGTCCATACAGTGCCCCATGGTGCTGTGATGGTCCATACAGTGGTCCATACAGTGCCCCATGGTGCTGTGATGGTCCATACAGTGGTCCATACAGTGCCCCATGGTGCTGTGATGGTCCATACAGTGGTCCATACAGTGCCCCATGGTGCTGTGATGGTCCATACAGTGGTCCATACAGTGCCCCATGGTGCTGTGATGGTCCATACAGTGGTCCATACAGTGCCCCATGGTGCTGTGATGGTCCATACAGTGGTCCATACAGTGCCCCATGGTGCTGTGATGGTCCATACAGTGGTCCATACAGTGCCCCATGGTGCTGTGATGGTCCATACAGTGGTCCATACAGTGCCCCATGGTGCTGTGATGGTCCATACAGTGGTCCATACAGTGCCCCATGGTGCTGTGATGGTCCATACAGTGGTCCATACAGTGCCCCATGGTGCTGTGATGGTCCATACAGTGGTCCATACAGTGCCCCATGGTGCTGTGATGGTCCATACAGTGGTCCATACAGTGCCCCATGGTGCTGTGATGGTCCATACAGTGGTCCATACAGTGCCCCATGGTGCTGTGATGGTCCATACAGTGGTCCATACAGTGCCCCATGGTGCTGTGATGGTCCATACAGTGGTCCATACAGTGCCCCATGGTGCTGTGATGGTCCATACAGTGGTCCATACAGTGCCCCATGGTGCTGTGATGGTCCATACAGTGGTCCATACAGTGGTCCATGCAGTGGTCCATACAGTGCCCCACGGTGCTGTGATGGTCCATACAGTGGTCCATACAGTGGTCCATGCAGTGGTCCATACAGTGCCCCACGGTGCTGTGATGGTCCATACAGTGGTCCATACAGTGGTCCATGCAGTGGTCCATACAGTGCCCCACGGTGCTGTGATGGTCCATACAGTGGTCCATACAGTGCCCCATGGTGCTGTGATGGTCCATACAGTGGTCCATACAGTGCCCCATGGTGCTGTGATGGTCCATACAGTGGTCCATACAGTGCCCCATGGTGCTGTGATGGTCCATACAGTGGTCCATACAGTGCCCCGCGGTGCTGTACACTGCTCGGGGGGCTCAGCCCCGAGCTCTGGCCCAGCTTCCAGCCCCATCTAGTGGCTGCTGCTCCTCAGCTCCCTGTCTGTCCCCAGGCACGTCGCAGTGGCCGCGGGCGAGCGGAGCTGGTGCCTTATCTCCCAGCTATGAAGGGAGTCTCCACACTTTGGTGAGTGGTGATGAAATTTGGGCTTCTCCTTTTCCCTCCCGTCCCTTGGGGCTTGGTGGAGTTGGATTTTTGGATGGAGTCCTCTTCCCCGAACGCCTGGGCTGCAGGGTCAGGTGGTTGGTGGAGGGTTGGATGTTTGGTTTGCAGCAGCTGAGCAGGGCTGGGGGCAGTGTTCCAGAGCCTCACTGGCAGCCTGGCTCCCTCCCCTTGTCTGTGTCCTAGGCCCATCCCGAGGGCTCTTGCCCAGCCAAATGGATTCCTGGCAGGTTTTTGCCTCCCGTCCCTGAGCAGCACTGGTGTGACCCCTGGTTCCTTTAGGGAACGGCACTGGCTGAGGGTGGGTTATTGCTCCCCATTGCTGCTCTGCACCACCTGAGTGCAGGTTTGCCACCAGCCACGCTGCAGCAGGCTGCTGGCTTTGGGGGACTGGAATCATGGAACTGTTTGGTTTGGAATGGACCTTAAAGCTCATCCCACCCCCACCCCTGCCATGGACAGGGACACCTCCCACCAGCCCAGGTTGCTCCAAGCCCCATCCAGCCTGGCCTGGAACACTCCCAGGGATGAGGAGTTAACACAGACATCTCTGTCCTGTCCTTCCAGCAAAACAAAATGGAAGACAGGTTGGACGAAGCCATCCACGTGCTGAGGAATCATGCTGTGGGCCAGACTGCTGCCATGCCCAGCAACCACGGGGACATGCATGGTCTCCTGGGCTCAGCACCACCCCACAGTGCTGCCGTGGGCAGCCTGGGCCAGGCCTTCCCGGCCTCGGTCATGGCCCTGGGGAACAGGCACCCAAGTCTGGTAAGTGTGGGGGCTCTGTGGCTGCTGCTGGGGACATGCTGGGGACACATGTTGCTCGTCCTGACATCCAGAGGGGCATTGCCTTGGGTGTAAGAATAGCTCAGTGTGGTCCAGCCTGGGTCAGCTGTCGAGAGCACTGAATGGGTGACATGCTTGGAACTTGCCATGTTCCTGCAGGGAGGGTTGAGTCATAGAATCCCAGAGTGGTTTGGGTTGGAAGGACCTTAAAACTCATCTCATTCAATGGCGGGGACACCTTCCCCTAGCCCAGGGTGCTCCAAGTCCTGTCCAGCCTGGCCTGGAACACTCCCAGGGATGGGGTGGTGATTCGCCGTGCTCACTGGCTGTGGCATATCCCCACTTAAGGCTTGCTGTGCTTGTTGTGCTGTAGGTGGGAGGAGGTCACCCTGAAGATGGGTTGTCCAGCAACCCCAGCTTGCTCCACAACCATGTCACACTTCCATCCCAGCCCAGCTCACTCCCTGACCTCAGCCGGCAGCAGGACACGTACAGCGGTAAGGCAGCCTGCTCAGGGCACCGTGGGGCTCACCTGCTGGGGACCACCTGCCAGGGATCACCTGCTGGGGATGACCTGCCAGGGCTCACCTGCCAGGGATTACCTGCTGGGGCTCACCTGCTGGGGCTCACCTGCCAAGGGGATGGGGATTTGGGTCACCTGTTGGGTCTGGTCCTGTGCAGCAGCAGTCGAGGGGGAGATGGATGCTTCTGCAAGGCTGGTGCTTGTGGCATCTGCAGGGAAGTTCCTACCTGGAGCCTTTTCCAGAGGTTTCACTGAATCCCAGAATGGTTTGGGTTGGAAGGACCTTAAAGCCTATCCCGTCCCACCCCTGCTCTGGGCAGGGACACCTTCCACCAGCCCACATTGCTCCAAGCCCCATCCAGCCTGGCCTGGAACACTCCCAGGGACGGGACAGCCACAGGGCAACCTGTGCATCACCACCCTCCCAGGGAAAAATTCCTTCCCATCATCCCATCTAACCCTACTAGGTGTGACCTACATGTCCCAGTCCCTCCTGCCAACTGTGGGGGCACAGTGCCCTGGGCCCTGCCCTCTGGGGAGCTTGGGCTCTCACTTTGGAGGGCCGGGGAGGTGGGGGGAGAGGAACGGGGAGCAGCAGCAGGGCAGAGCCAGCACCAGGAGGAATTCAGGATGGCACAGCAGGAGCAGGGCCTGGGCCCTCCTGTTTGGGTCAGGCCCCTCAATCTCTGCATGTGGCTCTGCTCTCCCAGCAGGCCTGTCCGGGGGGCTGGGCCGGAGCAGCGTCTCCTCCGGAACGAGCGAAATCAAGAGGGAGGAGAAGGAGGACGAAGAGAACACGTCGGTGGCAGATAACTCTGAAGAGGAGAAGAAGGAGCTGAAACCCTCCCGGAACAGAACAAGGTGCTCTTTGAACAGGTCTCTCCCTTCACTTACTCTGCTACCAGGCTGGGGCATTCGGGCTGGGGCACGACCAGGCCAGGGCTTGTCCTGCAGCACAGAGCCCCAGCCCCTGCTGCCCTGGCAGCCTGGTGTGGCCTCATTCAGCCTGGACTCGTGCTGCTGCCCTGGGGAAGGCTCCCTGCCACCCTCCTGCTGGCTCCTGTCCCTGCAGCCACACAGCTTCCTCATGCTCCTAAAGCAGAGGGATGTGCCTTACCCACACGAGCTGCGCCCGCCTGCGTGGGCACCTGGGGCTGTGCACGGGAAGGAGCAAGTGCTCAGCCCCCAGCAGGGAAAGTTTGGCCTCTTCCCTGCCTCGCCTTGAGGCATCTCTACTGTCTGGTTTGGGCTCCTGTATCCTCTGTCATGTCCAGCCAGAGAAGTGGTGGCAGAGCAGGGAGAGTCCTTCCAGCGTGCTGGCTTGTCTGCAGCCTCTCCACCAGCTCAGAGACCTCACTAGAGTGATGATGCCTGTAGGGCAGTGCCAGCCCCACTCCTGGCCTAGAGGCAGAGGGCTACATCTTCCCAATTTCCAGCTGGGAATTCCAGTGTTGGTCCTCACCCTCTCCGGGCTCCTCTGCAACAAACTCAGGCTTTAGTCACATTGTGGTTTCTTTCTTTGTCGTTTAAAAACAAAACAAAAGAGGCAGAAGAAGAGCCTTGTTTGTTTCTCTCCGAAGTCCCTGCGTGTCCCCATGCCCAGGTGTGTGGCACCAGGCCACCACACCCTCGGGGCACGCAGGGGCAGCGCCCGGTGCCTGGCCCGGCATGGGGCTCAGCGTCCTGGGGCCTCGCCGTGTGTTTTTGTCTGTGAGTTGACCGGTGCTGAGAGTGCACGCGAGGAATGTCCCTGTCTCGTTCTTATTTTAAACCATTAGTCAAGATGAGGATGAGGAGGACGATCTTCTTCCCCCAGAGCAAAAAGCCGAGAGAGAGAGAGAGAGGAGGGTCGCCAATAATGCCCGTGAGCGCCTGCGGGTCCGTGACATCAACGAGGCCTTTAAAGAGCTCGGACGCATGTGCCAACTCCACCTAAACAGCGAAAAACCGCAGACCAAACTGCTAATCCTACACCAGGCCGTATCAGTCATACTGAACCTGGAGCAACAAGTTAGAGGTCAGTGAGGGTCCCGGAGTGGTGATATTTTACGTATCTGATCGGCACGGGGCTGTCTGTCTGTCTGTCTCCTGTGACGTGCTGTGGCGCCTCGCACTGTCTCTCTGCCCTATGGCCTTGGGGATCCCAAGGCTGTCCATGTCCTTTTATTTTATTTTAGTTTTTACCTTTTTTTGCATCCATCCCTGCTGTTCTCTCCTTTGTTCCCCGCTGCGAGTGCTGCATGCTGGTCCCTGCCGGGGACACCTGCGCCTTCTCAGCCCCCTGAGCCAGGGGATGTGCTCAGTGCTCGGCCAGAAAATGGGAAACCCCCCGGGGGACCCAGCTCTGCCATCTCCGAGGGTGCTCCAAGCACAGAGCCCGTGAGCTCTGCGCTCCCGGCGGTGCTTCTGTGGCACCTGGCAGACAGCTGGGATCCCCAGAGCTGTGTGAGGGCAGTGGGATGCCCTCACTGCCTGCACAGACTGGTCTGACACAAGCTGGGAGCACTGTGCCTTCCGAGCAGAGCCTGGAGCTGCCTGCGGGCACGTGCAGGCTCTCCCTGTCGCTTCCATCCACGTGTGTGTGCACCCACCTGTGTGTGCTTCCAGTTCTGTGTGTGCTTCCAGTTCTGTGTGCTCCCAGTTCTGTGTGCTCCT